TTAAGATTTTATTTATTTGACAGAGAGAGACACAGCGAGAGAGGGAACACAAGCAGGGGGAGTGGGAGAGGGAGAAGCAGGCCTCCTGCTGAGCAGAGCCTGATGCAGGGCTCGATCCCAGAACCCAAAGGAGTTGAGAGAGCTTCCAGGATGGTGAATGCATCCAAGTGCCACAACAGTGGTGAACCTCTAACTTCACAGGGACAGAAGCTCCTGTATTTGGGACCCTTCTGGATCTTGCTCTATGTACCTCTTCATCTGGCTGTTCACTTGTGTCCTTTATAAACTGGTAAGAATAAGCAAGGCGTTTCCTGGAGTTCTGTGAGCTCTTACAGCAAACTATGAAACCTAAAGAGGTGGTTATGGAATGTCAGATTTGCAGCCAAATCGGACAGAAGTGTGGGTGACCTGGGGATTCATTACATGCGACTGGCATCTGAAGTGGGGGGTGGGGAGGGAGGCACTCTTGTGGGACCAAAACTTTAACCTGTGGGATCTTCGCTAATTCTGGGCAATTAGGCTCAGAATTTGTGTTACTTAAGGTGAGGGAAAATCCCACACATCCAGTGTCAGAAGTGCTGTGAGTAGAAAAATAGTTTTTCCCTTTAGGATGGGACACTCCTTCCTCCCACCTATCTACCTGGTTTTCTCCTTACTCATAGTTCAAATCTTAGTTTAGGTGTCTTAGTTTGGGTGTCTTCTCCTCCAAGAAGTACTCCTTGAACCTCTAAGGTTGGGTTAGGTGTGTTCATGTGTCCCCACAGTACCTAGGGCCTACTTTTATTCTGTAATTTATCATACTATATTGCCATTGCCCTTTTGCTTGTCCACCACCCCATCTAGATGTCAAAGTTCCTTGAAGGTAGAGACCCAGTGCCTACCACAGTACCAGGCATGTGTTAGCACCCTATTAAGTTATACAATCAAGGAGTAAGTGAAGAGATGACAGGGAAACTGAAACACGAAGGGCTGACTGCACTTCCTGAGGATTGCTGAATACAAAGCTGCACCTCTGGTCTAGAGTAAGACAAGCGAGAGGCTCACGTGTGGCATGTTCGTAAAATGCCATTAATTCTGTATCCTCAAAACCAGAGGCCTGCTAACAGTTCCCAGATGAATTTCTACTTTCTTACCATTTTGGGGGGAAAGGCAAGGTTCCCAGGGTTTCAGCTGGGTCTTTAAAGGCTGGAGTTGGATGTTTGTTAACTCTTGGGATGTTCCAAGACCTGTCAAATCCTTCCATGGTACTGCTGGTCCCTGAAATCAGTAAAAGATGGTTAGCTTTGTGAAGAACTCCCCCAGGGAAAATGCCTAGTAAAAATTTCAAAGAGGGAAACGAAGACATCTCCAAGATGAGCGACAGGGGAAAAAAGAACTATTTAAGGACAGAGACAGGTACGGCCATAGTAGTCATTGCAGGGTGTGGTTCCGTAGAGAAAATTTTCCATTCCACTCCTATGAGGACGCACATGCTCCAGTCTGTACATTTCTTTTCCCACAACATATCACATCTCCCTGTTCCCACCTGCTGCTGCGCTGGATCATCAAATTCCCTCTCCAAATCCTCCAACAGGGTCACAGCTTCCTCGCCGCTTTTTGGACTATGTTGCTGAACCCAAATCTGCAGCTCCTCAGGCAGGATGCTCAGAAACTGCTCTAGCACCAGCAGCTCCAGGATCTGCTCCTTGGTGTGCAACTCTGGCATGAGCCACTGATGGCAAAGCTCCTGGAGTCGGCCCAGAGCTTCCCGGGGCCCAGGTGTCTCCTGGTAGCAAAACTTTCTGAACTGCTGGCGGAACAATTCTTGGCAGGATCTGATGCTCCCACTCTGCTTACATTTCTGACCCCAGGAAAGGCTTTCTTCTACTTTCACTAGTATTAGTTCTTGATCCTGAGGACTCTGAGGTACCAAGGTTGAAACTGCTCTGGATTCCACAGCCATTCTGGCCTAAACAGTGGAGCAAAAAGCTCACTACAACTGGGTACAGTATTTCAGAGTTCCTTTGAGTAATCTCTTCTTTCCTGAAAGATAGAAAAGCACTGTTAACTTATAGCAGTGAAAAAAAAAAATCTTATAAGAACTTATAATAAAGGTCATCCAGTAATGTGTTGAAAGGAAACAAGTTTGAGACTCTAACTAAAATAATAATCAAGTGACAAACTAAAGATCATTCACCCCATTTATCACCCATTTAGAATTTCCGCCACTAATGCATAAATTATTTTAGAAGCAAAAGAATGCAGTATTACCATGAATCACATAATGAGAAATTTCCTTTTCAATTCTTTCAATCCTGATGGTATCAAGGAGAAAAAAGATCTGTCTTTAATTTATCTGTAAAACTTGCGGAACTCTTTTTAATTAAGTATAAGCCTCAGACTTCTTAAGGGTAACAGTATCTAGCTAGGATTTAGTAATGCTTTTAAAAATTTATTTTTAGGGGCGCCTGGGTGGCTCAGTCAGTTAAGCATCTGCCTTCCGCTCAGGTCATGATCCCAGAGTCCTGGGATTGAACCCGACATCGGGCTCTCTGCTCAGCCGGAAGCCTGCTTCTCCCTCTCCCTCTGCTTGTGCTCTCTCTACCAAATAAATAAATAACATCTTTAAAAATCAAATAAATAGGGGAGTCTGGGTGGCTGAGTTGTTACGCGTCTGCCTTCGGCTCAGGTCATGATCCCAGGGTCCTGGGATCGAGCCCCGCATCGGGCTCCTTGCTCCGCGGGAAGCCTGCTTCTCCCTCTCACACTCCCCCTGCTTGTGTTCCCTTTCTCGCTGTCAAATAAATAAATAAAATTAAATAAAAAATAAAAATGAAATAAATAATAAAAAAATATTTTTAGTTACCTTCCGTCTATGGCAAATAATGTTGATTTTCATTTGTGGGAGTAACATTTTAAAAACTTCATATTAAATATGAGTTGATTTAAATAAAAACACCTTTCTTATAATTGCCATTTGATCAAATTTAGTTTTCAATGCATTACTTCAACAAGCACTGAGTCAGTTACCACGGGCTCTGTCGTGAGCCAGGCATAAGAATACAAAGGTTTTTTGCTTGTAAGTAAATGAAACTACAGAGAAATTAACCAAGAAGTGTTTGTTAAATGCTTACTGTGTGCTCAAAAACATGTCCGTTATCATAGAAACACGAAAACAGCAAAAAGGTTAATCTCAGTTCTCAAGCTTAGAATACAGGGGAGTAAACAGTATTGTTTTTCCTTGAAGATTTTATTTATTTAACAGAGAGAGAGAGAGAGAGAGCGCGAGCAGGAGCACAAGCAGGGGGAGTGGGAGAGGGAGAAGCAGGCTTCCCGATGCGGGGCTCGATCCCAGCACCCCGGGATCAAGACCTGAGCCGAAGGCAGACGCTTAACGACTGAGCCACCCAGGCGCCCCAGTAAACATTTTTTAGAGTGAAATATGGCAACAAATAATTATGTGTTAAATTTTGTGATATAGCTCACACATGACCTGATTCTAGGATGTGTGATTATCAACAGGAGGGTATGCCCTTTAAAACAGCAGGGCAGATCAATACAATTTGATCCTAACACTAAACTTTAGAGATTAGAATATTTAGGCTAATATTTAGGTTTATTAAGCCAGCCCGGCCGCATTAGCCTATTTTTATAGCCCGGTTAAACTACAGCATCTGCGAAGTCACAGGGTGGGGGTGCAACTGCCCTTTCCGCTGGAAAGCACGGGCTTGAGCTGGCCTCCTCTGGCTCCCCAGGACGCTCGGAAACGCCGCCCGGACAAGGGGCCGCGACCCGGGGATGGGCAGGCCCGGGGCGCAGGGCTCCTTCACCTCGCGCCCGCCGCCCGGGCCGCGCGCCCTCCCCGCCCTCCCCCCGCTCGGGGCCCGCGTCCCTCACCGCGAAGCCCAGCAGCGGCCAGGGCGCAAGCCGCCGACTCGGAGCGGCGAGCCACAAAGACCGGAAGTGCGCTCCCGCGGCCTTCCGCTCGCTCGTCCTCGGGAGCCTCCGTGCTCCCCGCCCCGTGCTCACAGGCAGCCAATCGGCGCCGCGGATCCTTCGTTCCCACCGCCTTCCCTCTGGCGTCCTGCCCCGCCGAGCGCCAAGGCCCCGGCGAGGGTGAGCTGGGAGGCGGGCGTCCTTGGGAAGAGGTCGTCCCACCCCGGAGGGCGCCGCTCCCCGCCTTGGCTGCCTCCTAGCGTGGCCTCCTCCGCCGGCACCCGCCTCCCGCCCACCTCTCCCTATCGTCTCACCTGCAGTTTCCCAGAAAAGTATTAAGATTTTCCTGTAATTGTGGTGAGTTTCCAGTACCTCCGGCAAAAGTAAACGCGTCTCCGGTTGCTGTTCCGTGTGCATACCGTTTCAGCCTTACAAGAGCTCTGCGCTAGCTCTGTTACGCCACTGCCCAGCCGTAGACGCTGCCCGAAGTCAGGGCCCCGTCAAAGATTTTTCACTGGAACCTAGAAGACTTAGTGATTAAGTTTTTCTTTGGCCATTTAGTAGGGGAGAAATGATGCTTTATGTTTTTTTAACTTGCATTTCATTTAGATTAGGGACCTTGAGGTTAAGGTACTTTCTTTCACGTTTATTGACCATTTATGATTTTTCAAGGAAATGGCTTTTCCCATTTTTTAACTTGAGATGTTACTATTTTCCTTTTATATTTGCGATAGTTTTTTTTTTACTTGCAAGGTTATCAACTCATTTGTTACAAATACTTCCCTTCTATTTAATTATTTTTAAAAAATGTTAGTACAGGGGCGCCTGGGTGGCTCAGTCGTTAGGCGTCTGCCTTCCGCTCTGGTCATGATCCCAGGGTCCTGGGATCGAGCCCCATATCGGGCTCCCTGCTCCGTGGGTGGCCTACTTCTCCCTCTCCCACTCCCCCTGCTTGTGTTCCCTCTCTCGCTGTGTCTCTCTCTCTCTGTCAAATAAATAAAATCTTTTAAAAAAAGTGTTAGTACAAGGTGATGTGTATACATGGAAACATCTTTTGTAAGCTAAGGCCATTAAGACACATTTGGGAAAAAATAATTAGCTTTCAGAGTGATTAACGAAATCTTTTTTTTTTTAAAGATTTTATTTATTTATTCATGAGAGACAGAGGGAGAGAGAGGGAGAGAGAGAGAGAAGCAGAGGGAGAAGCAGGCTCCCAAGGAGCAGGGAGCCCAATGTGGGACTCGATCCCAAGACCCTGGGATCATGACCTGAGCCGGAGGCAGATGCTTAACCATCTGAGCAACCCAGGCGCCTGATTAATGAAATCTTGATCATTGTGAACTAGCTATGGTAATTTTACAAATCAAGAGAACAAATAATATTACCATATGTTTCAGTTATCTGTTGCAGCATAAATAAAACAGCAGGTGTTTTATTGTTCACAATTCTGTGGTCAGGAATTCAGGCAGGGCTTAGCAGAGATGACTAGCTCATGCTGTCTGAGGTGTCAGCTAGCATGGCTTAACTGGGACTAGAAGGTCCAGGAAGGCTTCACTCATATTGCTGTGGTCTTGGGTGCTGCCTATTGGCTGGAGTTACTTGATTCTCCTCTATAAAGCTTCTCTTCATGTAGTCTCCATCATTCAGGAGGTTAGCCTAAGCTTTCTTATAGGGTGCAAGGCTTCCAATAGAGTGAAGGAGAAAGGGAACAGGCTAGTTCTCTTAAGGCCTAGGTTTGGAATTGGCATTATATTAGTTCTGCTGTATTCTTTCGGCAGAAAGCAGGACTCATGGGAAGGGGAAATAGACTCTACCTTTTGATAGGAAGAACAGCTTGAATGTAGAAGAAAATTTAGGCAGTTATTCTTGCATCCAATTTACCTCAACTTCTTATATAGAGAAGCCTACTACTTAGGAGTGGAACTGTTGAAAGAGAAAGGAATTCTTTCAATTGCAGTAATAGAAAACCTTACTAAGTATTCATATTGTTTAAGCCTTTTTATTATCCCACATAGCTACATGTATGGAGCTAAGGCCATCCCTAGGGTTGGTTATTAACAAATCAAATATGTCAAGTATGGCTTGACAATATTGTCAAGGACGCAGGTCCTTTCCCCCTTTTTGCTCTGCCATTTTTAAATATGTTGGCCTTTTTCCAATCTGGCTTCCCTTATGGTCCTAAAATGAATTAGTTTCAGATTACAGATGATATCCACAAGCAGAAATAGGGAACACCCTTATGTTCTGCCCCTTTTTAAGACTAAGAAAAACCTCTCCCCTCAGCAGATTTCCTCTCATATTTTATTAATTAAAATTACTGCAACTGTCTATGCCTGTCACCAACAAGGGTGGTGAGGCGTCCATGATGGGCTCAGGCCAATTGAGGTTCATATCCCAGGTGTGAGGAGGGGCAAGCCTCTCCTGAAAGACAATCTGGGGAAGATAAACAAAATTAGGATTATGTTAAAAAGGCAGAAATGTTAAGGGCAGGTTAGGAGTGCTGACAACATTGATTCCATCTTTGGCTCTCCATCTTGTTCATGCCCTCACAATGACCTCCCCTCCAGGCCACACGTTTCAGGCCCTGTGGAGGTTAATGCATCCCCTGACCTGACTGTAGGAAGGCTTGTTCTGATCTTCCTTAAAGTGACACACAGAGGGCACCACTTTCGATAACTAGTAGAGATGACTGGCACACAGAAGGTTCCACTTCCGATAACTAGGAGAGCCAGGGCTGTTGCGCAGGTGGCACCACCACCTGAGACAACTACCCTGCGACCTCACCACCACGCTGCTCACTCTCCAGAAGGTGGGGATGAAGGCCTGGATTTGGCGGGGAGTAGCTGTGTTGAGCCCAGGATCTTCTGTCTGCCGGATTCTCCCTATAAGTTACCGCGGGTAAGACTCTAAGGAGTTACGGTGTAGCTTGTGTTGTTTTCTGGTCTCTAAGTGCCTTTTGGGGTGCCTGGGTGGTGCAGTTGGTTAAGTATTCGACTCTTGGTTTCAGCTTCGGTCGTGATCTCAGGGTCCTGAGATTGAGCTCCATGTCAGTCTCCCCGCACTCAGTGCAGTTGGTTTTGAGATTCTCTTCTCTCTCTCTCTCTCAACTAAATAAATATTAAAAAAATATATTTCTGGGGCGCCTGGGTGGCTCAGATGGTTAAGCGTCTGCCTTTGGCTCAGGTCATGGTCCTGGAGTCCTGGGATCGAGCTCCATGTCCGGCTCCTGGCTCAGTGGGGAGCCTGCTTCTCCCTCTCCCTCTGCCTCTCCCCCTGCTCATGCTCTCTTTCTCTCTGTATCTCTGTATCTCAAATGAATAAATTAAAAAATCTTAAAAAAAAAATAAAAAAAAATATATTTCTCAAAGTGCCTTCCCAGTTTGAAGGATACTTTACTGACCCTCTGCCTTCTAACAGGCAGGAAAAGGGGATAGGCGGATGAATGCAGAGTGTGTAATGGTAGCATCTATTTCATTTTTTTAAAAGATTTATTTACTTATTTTATTTTATTGTATTTTTTAAAGATTTTATTTGTTTATTTGAGAGAGAGAGAATACGAGAGGGAAGAGGGTCAGAGGGAGAAGCAGACTCCCCGCTGAGCAGGAAGCCCGATGCGGGACTTGATCCTGGGACTCCAGGATCATGACCTGAGCCGAAGGCAGTCGCTTAACCAACTGAGCCACCCAGGCGCCCAAGATTTATTTACTTATTTTAGAGAGAGAACGAGATAGCATGAGCGGGGGAGGGTCAGAGGGAGAAGCAGACTCCCTGCTGAGCAGGAAGCCCAATGTGGGACTCCATCCCAGGACTCCAGGATCATGACCTGAGCTGAAGGCAGTCGCTTAACTGAGCCACCCAGGCGCCTGGTAGCATCTACTTCATATAGGTAACCTGATTTACCTATATAGGTAAGAAAGTGAGGCACTAGGAAAAAAAGATTCCTGTCACTCCTTGTAAGAGGGTGTGTATATTTTTTAATTTTTATTTTAAAAATATATTATTTGACAGAGAAAGACACAGCGAAAGAGGGAACACAAGCAGGGGGAGTGGGAGAGGGAGAAGCAGGCCTCCCGCGGAGCAGGGAGCCTGATGCGGGGCTCTATCCCAAAACCCTGGGATCATGACCTGAGCTGAAGGCAGACGCTTAACAATTGAGCCACCCAGGGGCACCGAGAGGGTGTGTATATTTAAAATATAAACCAGTTTCTTAGTTGCAAGAGATGTAAACTGGAGATTTATGGGTAGGACTTGGTTAAAATTTCTGGTGGAAGAGTAATTCATTCATTACTCTTAAGAGCCTTAGCCAACATTTTCCACTTACATAATGTCTTAGTCTGTTCGGGCTGCTATAACGAAAACACCATAGACTCGATGGCTTATAAACAACAGAAATTTATTTCTCACAGTTCCACAGGGTGGAAAGTCCGTGATCAAGGTGTGTAGATTCAGCCTCTGGTGAGGACCCGCTTCATGAGCTTCATAAAGTGATTAGTGAATAAGTCTATTTATTCAGTGAAGTTTGTTTGAATTACTATATCACATTCAACAGTGCTCTCCTTCAACTTCATCAGGTGAGATAAGCTTGTTGAAAGTCTCTTCACTGTAAACCACTGTTCAGTCATAAATGATAGAGAAAATGGCTTCTGATGCTTCAGGAAAGTGGATCATTCCCTCAATATATCATTGAACACCAGTATATGTGAAACACTGGTAAGAAAAGTGCAGGATTCAAATGAAATACCAGACAGGCTTTCTCACTTCACTTACCACTGTGAATCCTAGAGCATAAACTCCATAAGGTTTTGGTTTTCCACATAGTCTCACCAGGATGGCCTAGCACGTAAACGTACAGGAGAGCGTCCCGGGGTTGTTCAAGTAATTAGACAAGGAACTACTCTAATGTCTTAGCAGCCTAGGTAAGCAAACCAAAACCTAAGCTAGCGTGGAAGCCTTTAAAAGCCTCAAAATTAAGAACTAGGAATTTAAGAATAGCTAATCAAAAACAGCCAACTAAGCGTTCTCAAATAAGGCAA